TTCGCTCCTGCTATTAGAAAGAACAGCCGCTGACTGACAGCTGGAGCAGAACCAACGTTTCCAACGGGGCACTGATGATAAACTGATTTAGGCCCTTGCCTAAAGGACAAGGAAACCCCTTAGAACCCATCCACTGATTCCAACGGAGCGGTAATGATGAAAGGGAAATGCTTATTCTCCGGCCCTTGCCCGGACGACGTGGAAACCCCTCGTTGACGTTTCCTCCAATCAGCATCAGGCATACAGCAACAACAACCAATCAGAAGGGGTCGTTCCGTATTCTGCCCCGCCTAGCGTTGAAGTCCTCCTGTTGTATTCAGGTTTTCCAACAGTCTTTTTTTTTTCTCCGGCAGACCGCTCCGGTCAGTAGGTCAACCTCAGCTCAACAGTTTCACCCTTTAGTTCACATTCATCACTGCCTAATATTAACCATGAGGGAGATAGTTCACATTCAGGCTGGCCAGTGTGGCAACCAGATTGGAGCAAAGGTAGGAAAAAGTTACAAATTAAAAGTTGGGGTTAATTTTTTAAAATCTTTTGTTTTGATATGTTAATATCCTATAATTCCAATGTTATAGACATTACATTTTATGTATCTAAGCGTTATCTAAAACATTATGTAGAGTTTGAACGATGAAAATAAATCGTTATGTATGTTGTTTAGATTTTTATGAGCTTTTTTCCCTGCTAATGTTCATTATTGATTGCAAATCAATCAGTTATTTAGAAAATAGTGACATCCATCCATCCATCCATTTATCCATCCATCCAATTAGACAATCTGCCATAATTCCATGTATAAAGTGACATTCAAAAATTTAAAAAGCTGTGTAATTATGGTGTAATTATTTGATTTATTAAAGCACAACAAGTTGCACTCAACCTAAGACCTATCTTTGAATTTTCTTTTATACTTGACAATAAATCAGTTTATTTAAAAACTTATCTAAGTTAGTATGTTTCTCATTGTCAGTAGATTTCATTTAGTAAACATCAATAGAGTAAAATTTCCCTTTAAATCCTTTGGGAAACCCTGACAGAAGCCATGGAGCGATGATTAATGAGTTTAGTCAGACTAACAGGACCAGCTGCTGTCTTTGCTTGTTGGTGAGTTTTAGTCATTGAAGTGGGGGGAAAATCATCTCATTATAGGGTGGAAAAGGAGGAAATGTGCTGAGACAGAGGAGAGGAACGCAGTAGGAGGAGGGCGGACAAGTGGTTCAGTGTCTGCTCTGGCTGATCAGAGATGAGCTCATTTAAATCTCTGCCTTTTCACCCACTTTATCAGATTAACATATTCAGGACTCTGGTCCTCACACATGATCTCTGTTCAAACAGAGATTCTGTCTTTTGTGCAGAAACTTTAAACAAATTGTATTTTATCTTCACTTTTTCCCATACATTTATCAATAATCTATTTAGCAGAACATAACTTTTAAACCTTGCACCAAGCTATCCCTTTAAAATCTTGTGTGTGGCCTTGGTTCTTCTTTAAAATCAGCTTAAAAGCTGATAGATAACAGCATCAAATAATAAATGCATTCATTAAAGGCTCGTTTAGCTGCAGGGAAAGGCGTTGGAGCAGCATATGGTGGAGTAGGAGGCCCTCATCTCTTAACAAGTGTATTTACAGCAGACTTAGTGTGGCTGAGGTCATTAATGTTTCACAGTGGATTAACTGCCGGAATCCACTCACTAAACCAAAACCTCTCAGCCCTCACATCATGTCGGCTCCTGTTATCAAAATACAATAAAACAAAGATTTACAAAGTAGAAGAAACAGGTGATTCACGTCTAGCTAATAAAGATATAACTCACTCCATACAAATAATCTCACTTTAATTAGTTTATTATGCCAGTAAAAAGATATTCAGTTCAAGGTTCCTGCCTGTAAAACAATTAAACATCATTAGTTTACTTTCGTTCTGATTTGAAAGTACTTATTGTGAAGATTTAATTTTACAAAAACTGAAAGAAAATGCTCTATTTATAAATGTATATATTTCTGATCTGTAAGCTGCAGTTTTACTCCACAGCCACTAATGTAGCCTGTAGTTAAGATTAGGGTCAGCGGGCTGAGCTGCTGTGACAGTGGCTGCTCCTAACTGGGTTTGGCAGCGACGTCTCAGGCGCCAAAGATGGAGAGGAGCGCTGAATCCTGTGACAAAGCTCAGCTGATCCCTGGAAAAAGCGCAACAACCCGACTTGGTTCCTAAAGAGGGAAAAGCTCAGAACAGAATCACATTTTTCATCCTGTCACTTTCAATCCCACGTTTCCCTCTACTGAGCCTTCGCTCTACAAGTTCAGTCAGTTTGTTAGAGGCCTGCCCTGCTAACTGAGTTAGCATTGATGCTGTCATGGTGTCAGAGCACATCTTTAGAGTAGGACTCAAACGCTGAAGGCTCTAAAGATCTGTAAAATTTGTTCCTTAATGTTTTTATTGAATACTTTGTTAATTCACTGGTTTATTATGGAGCTTTCATTCTTCATTCATGAAGTTAGTTTAACCCTGTGCTGCGATTTAGATCAAAGTGAGAGTTACTGAGGATTTTAACAATCTTTTGATAGAACTGGTGTCGGTTTTACACCTGATCCATCCCGTTGTCTTCGATTTTATTTTGTTAAAAAGACCTAAATGACGTTTTCCCTCCACAGAAATAGTTAAAATACTAAAATATAAGGTGTTAAAGGTTAATAATGTATTACCTGAGAAAATAAATGCCTTCAAATTCTTTCTGTTTTATCACTCTCTGCTCGATCTGCACCAGAAATTGGATCCAACGTTACTTCCAGTGGCTAACTTTTTCGGTTTTGGATTTAAACATAAATCCTTTTAGTTTTATGTTTTCCTTTCCTTTTAACCTTATGCTATATAGTGCCTAATCTAAAGAAAGAAACAAAAATGCAGATAAAGATGGTTTAATCATATTTTTGCCAGACTGCTCTGAGCATGATGATGATATCAGAGAAGCAGTTTAACAAAGAAAATGTAAAAAGCATCAACATTGTCTCACAAATGTCATAGAAAATTTTTTAAATATGTATATTAGCATTATTTATTAAGTGATTTAAGGATAGAAATAAGTAATTTTAGTACCATAATTACATTATTTGCTTCCGGGACAGATCGGGTGGTGACAGCATGTTTGCAGCTTCTTCTTCTTCTGCATTATTGAATAAAAGTGAATCAAATTAAAGTTGTTTATACTAAAAATAGCTTCTGAGCAGAAAGGGCTTTTCACATCTTAAANGAAAACAACACAAAATTCAGGACAAGACATGATCCTGACATCTTTAGAAAAACTCAAAGTTAAAGAACAGCAGAGTGTTTTTGGTCAAAGTAGGTAAATTCACCCGATCCATTGCAAGAAAGTCTGTTATAAAAAATCCTTCCTTCTTACAGCCACCAACATCTACAAATTGTTGAAAAAAGAATGAGTTTTACAACATTTAATTACCTTTGGCATTGATACATTGTTCATTGTGGAACAACAATGTTTATATGAGAGGTTAAAACTGAATTTAGACAGCAAAGGAAAAAAAAAAATGTTATAGAAACACTAAATTAGGAGGCATGATTTATACACATGTGACATTGTTAAAAGAGTCAGGAAAATAATTCTTGAACGCACTCAGAGCAAACAATATGTGCCTTAAATTAAAATTAGTTTTGGCTTCTAGTGCAAATAAAAAATTTGGGATCTGGAACACATAAACATAGACTATTTTCTATTCTGTTCTATTCTGTTCTATTCTATTCTAGTGTTGAATAATGATGTTTTTAAAACAGAGGTGGAACAAATATATTTTACTCGAGTAGAAAGTAGTCATCCAATAGAGCGCTAAAGTAGGAGTAAAAAACTACTTGTTAAAATTGCTACTCAAGTGTTGAGTAAATGCTAGCTCTAACATCTAATTTAATATTGAAAATTATGTAATCAGACTGAAGTTCATGCAAAAAAATCCAACTTAATGATGTGGTCACAAAATAAGGAAATCATGCAGAATAAACAATTATCTGAGTAAAAATGTTTGGCAGAGTAGAACCACTTCTAAAAGTTTTTCTTTCTAGAAATTACTTAAGTTAATTTAATTGAGTAATTTTACTAGCTACTACCAACCTGTTTTAAAACAAATAAAATCAATGAAAATGCTGGTTTACTGTTTACTTTTCATTTAGAATTGTCATTGTTTGTAACATAAAACTTTGGATTGATCTAATAGCTAACCCTTTAACATATTTATTTTTATTTGTTTAATATATTTATAAATCCCCATTTATATTCGCTCCTGCTATTAGAAAGAACAGCCGCTGACTGACAGCTGGAGCAGAACCAACGTTTCCATCGGGGCACTGATGATAATCTGATTTGGGCCCTTGCCTAAAGGACAAGGAAACCCCTTAGAACCCATCCACTGATTCCAACGGAGCGGTAATGATGAAAGGGAAATGCTTATTCTCCGGCCCTTGCCCGGACGACGTGGAAACCCCTCGTTGACGTTTCCTCCAATCAGCATCAGGCATACAGCAACAACAACCAATCAGAAGGGGTCGTTCCGTATTCTGCCCCGCCTAGCGTTGAAGTCCTCCTGTTGTATTCAGGTTTTCCAACAGTCTTTTTTTTTTCTCCGGCAGACCGCTCCGGTCAGTAGGTCAACCTCAGCTCAACAGTTTCACCCTTTAGTTCACATTCATCACTGCCTAATATTAACCATGAGGGAGATAGTTCACATTCAGGCTGGCCAGTGTGGCAACCAGATTGGAGCAAAGGTAGGAAAAAGTTACAAATTAAAAGTTGGGGTTAATTTTTTAAAATCTTTTGTTTTGATATGTTAATATCCTATAATTCCAATGTTATAGACATTACATTTTATGTATCTAAGCGTTATCTAAAACATTATGTAGAGTTTGAACGATGAAAATAAATCGTTATGTATGTTGTTTAGATTTTTATGAGCTTTTTTCCCTGCTAATGTTCATTATTGATTGCAAATCAATCAGTTATTTAGAAAATAGTGACATCCATCCATCCATCCATTTATCCATCCATCCAATTAGACAATCTGCCATAATTCCATGTATAAAGTGACATTCAAAAATTTAAAAAGCTGTGTAATTATGGTGTAATTATTTGATTTATTAAAGCACAACAAGTTGCACTCAACCTAAGACCTATCTTTGAATTTTCTTTTATACTTGACAATAAATCAGTTTATTTAAAAACTTATCTAAGTTAGTATGTTTCTCATTGTCAGTAGATTTCATTTAGTAAACATCAATAGAGTAAAATTTCCCTTTAAATCCTTTGGGAAACCCTGACAGAAGCCATGGAGCGATGATTAATGAGTTTAGTCAGACTAACAGGACCAGCTGCTGTCTTTGCTTGTTGGTGAGTTTTAGTCATTGAAGTGGGGGGAAAATCATCTCATTATAGGGTGGAAAAGGAGGAAATGTGCTGAGACAGAGGAGAGGAACGCAGTAGGAGGAGGGCGGACAAGTGGTTCAGTGTCTGCTCTGGCTGATCAGAGATGAGCTCATTTAAATCTCTGCCTTTTCACCCACTTTATCAGATTAACATATTCAGGACTCTGGTCCTCACACATGATCTCTGTTCAAACAGAGATTCTGTCTTTTGTGCAGAAACTTTAAACAAATTGTATTTTATCTTCACTTTTTCCCATACATTTATCAATAATCTATTTAGCAGAACATAACTTTTAAACCTTGCACCAAGCTATCCCTTTAAAATCTTGTGTGTGGCCTTGGTTCTTCTTTAAAATCAGCTTAAAAGCTGATAGATAACAGCATCAAATAATAAATGCATTCATTAAAGGCTCGTTTAGCTGCAGGGAAAGGCGTTGGAGCAGCATATGGTGGAGTAGGAGGCCCTCATCTCTTAACAAGTGTATTTACAGCAGACTTAGTGTGGCTGAGGTCATTAATGTTTCACAGTGGATTAACTGCCGGAATCCACTC